GCCGGAGACGACTTCCCTTCTTCCGACTGATCCCCCTGCGAAGATCGAGGTTGCGAGCCGGACCCGTCTTGGTCTGATCCCTCTTGCTCGCTTGGATCGGAAGCAGGATGATCTTCGGCTGGAAATTCCTCATCATTACCGTGTAACGAGAAGGACGGCGAGGGAGACCGAGCGGGCGACGGACTCGGAGATCGACTGCGGGGTGGAGGCGCCGATCGGGCCCGTTTGTGGATGTGCCCGGTGGAGTCCGGAGATCCTGAGCGACTGCGGCTGCAACGGCCAGGCGTGATCGGCGCACACTGACGAAGCCCGATCCACCGAGCTACGCGAGACAACGTGTCAGCCACATTCTCGAGATCCTCGCTGGATCGATCGCTGGCGTGACGCAACATAGCGTAGGCGTTCTGGACGTCGAGGAATTGGGCGTCTTGGGCCCGGATCACCTGTTGCGCACTTTCGAGACACGATCCTGTAGCACAGCGACAGCATGAGCAGCGATCGACAATGGAATAGGTGGTATGGGAAGCTTACGTACGAAGATCGGCGTTCTCTCGGAGTGCAGCATCGCGGTCTTGACGAGCTTGATCGACGTCTCTCCCGGCAGCGGTGCCTTGGTCTCTCGCGGTATCTCGGGCGGTACGCGTCAGATCCAGCTCCTCATTTACCCGGTGGAGGGCAGCTTGCAGTTGGTCCAGGGCGGGCGTGGGTCCGATGGGAGGCGTCGAGGTCGGAACGCCGCAGCCGCAACGTAACCTCGCTGGGCCACGGTCGTTTCGGCCACCTGAAGGGCAGTCTGGACCCGATCGAGGGTGCCACGCGTAAGATCTAGCTCGTGGTTCACCTCGTCTAGCTCGCGCTCTTGCCCGGAAACCTGCGATCGGAGATCCGAAATATCCGCCACGGCGAGATCGAGCTGGTGGTCCAGCCGATCACGATCGGCGTTTGCAGTCGCGAGATTGGCCTGAGCGCGTGTCAGTTGGCGATCCAGATCCTGGATCTCGGCGGCTTGCAGGTCTATCTGATCCCGGAGGTCTTGGATCAGCTGCGGACCCTGACCCTGGGCACTCTGTTGAAGGTCGCTGACTTCCGTCTGAAGGCGGCGGATTTCTTCTTCTTGCGCCCAGCGGTGGCGCTCCAAGTCGTGCAGGTTCGCGGTCAGCTCGCACACGGTGTCGTCCTGGCGCGCCCGGTCGCGGATCATAGTCGATCGGGAAGCGTAGGCGCATGCCAGCTCATCTTCCAAGCGGGCAATTCGGCGGACGGCATCCGGGGAGGCCGCGGCACGGCGAGAGGCCGTCGATCGCGTCGATCGAGGTGTCGAATGAGTCGATCGGAGCGAACCATGCGTCGAACCGTCGTCGTCTGGCGGACCGGACGGAGGTGGAGGTGGGTTGGGCGGCGGTGTGCTCATCTGTGGGGGGTCTGTGCTTAAGCCGGCGAATTGGAGAATGACCAAGGTCGAACTGTCCGAAGTGAGCCGCCGTGCGACACAACTTGCGGCCAGGGGGCGGATGTGGAGAAGTGTCGAATAAGAATGGATCTCCGAGAAAGGCGGCAGAGCCGATCGACTGGAAGTATGGGGGATCAGCGATCGAGAGACAGGCAGCGAGGATCTATGGATCAGAGGGAGTTCTTCGGGAGATCTCAAGTGGCCCGATGACGCCGGCGCGTAAGGCAAGGACATGTGGCAAGCCGGACTATGGATGATCGTGCTCGAGCCGCGGCGTAATTCGGGGGTGACCCAAGCCCGGATCGACGACAGATCTCGCAGATCTAGGATGGCCGAGGGCAGAAGATGATGGATCGGCGGCGTACGGCAACCGGCACAAGTCGTCGACCGGGAGTCGATCGCAGATCAGGAGTCGATCGTGGATCGGGAGCCGATCGTGGGTTGATCGTGGATCGGGGATCAACCACGATGGGATGCACATGGAGGACGAAGTCGGGACAAGAATCCAGTGGTTGTTTAGTTGTAGGATGGTAGATGAGATGGTAGCGGTAGAGAGACACCAGCTAAACATAAATCAGAAGAGTATTTGCACCGAAGAGCACAAGTCCCCCAAGTCGTCAAGTCCCAGGAACTACATTGGCCTCGGCAAGCATCGACACTTTGGACAGTGAGCTAGTGGTACGGTTAAGACTGGATTAATACATTGGCCAGCTTGACCTACTCTAGCGATCTATTTCTTGTGTGCGAACCCCCGATCGACCGGATACTGCTTGGCCGGCGATCGTTTCTCCTCTCGATCAACCTCGATCCCGCTATAGGAAGCGGCAAGCAACCCAGGAAAGGAAGGAACACACCCGGAAAGGCAACTACAGGCCTTGGATCGACTCCAGGCCGACCGATCGCAGCGAAGAACCTCGATCGGAACGTATACTCGGACGCAGAGCGAAGATTCCCGCGCTGCTCCACAACCTATCCCCGCGTCACGCCAAGACACTCGATCTTCACCAAGTGCTGCATCTTCGGAGCCCCGAGAGAGCAGATCCAGCCCGCCGACGGGTACACAAGGTGAGAACAAGTTCAGCCGACCACGGATCGTTGGGGGGGGCCCTCCGTTAGTCGGTGTCTGGGCGCTGGTGGGAAGCTCGATCAGGCCTTAACCAGATTTCGGCCGATCCCGCTACACCACAAACACCCGCCAAAAATTCTACGTCCAAGCGATTAGACTTGGTTTCAGTTTTGATTTGAACTCACTTCTGGAAAAAGTTGAGCACTTAGCGAAGTGTGATCTCACCATCTCATGAAAATTCACTTGGTTTCAGTAGCGGGAACGATGAATTCCTGGTTTGACGGTGCATTTATGAGGCTACTGTAGCTTTTTCCAGAGGCAAGTTGAGCTGGCAGCACTTTAGGAATAGCTAAATAACATACTAATGAAGATACCTATGCGCCCACGTCCGCTAGTCCAGCTTAGCTACCAACTTAAGTAAGCATGAGTACCCATTCTCGTGATTTTCGTACAAAAGTGAGTTCAAATCAATACTGAAACCAAGTCTAATCGCTTGGACGTAAACTTTTTTTCCGCCCGCTCTAGTTTCCCGGCATCCTCCGTTCTTTACTGACAGTCATGTTTGGCTACAAAAAGTGGGTAAAAAAAGTGATGTCTGCCGCGCATTGTGAAACACACGAAACGCTCATTGTTTCATCGCAGACCGAGCTGCACTCGATGGTATCATGCTCGACAGCCACAGCTCAAACTCTATGATCTACCAGACTCAGGCTAGAAAGCTGAGCGATAATTTCACTAGCTACAACGTCTACTTTCTTCACTAAAAGCTGTGACATACATGTGCTTCCAGGGCCTGTAAGGGCAACATCAAAGCCGAAAGTGGTACGACCTCCCCACGCAGTTCATTCATCCATACCACGAGCTCCTGTTCAGCTTCAGCGGGGTGGGCCATACCTGTGCCGCTCGTCCGAGCATTCTTTTTGAGAGCTGTCTGTCCATGAGCTTTCGCCGCGGTTCGTGGACAAAATCATCTAGACCGCTGTAGAAGGCGTTAAAAGCCGCGGTGATGTCACCGCACTGTGCCCAGGCATCGAGCACCTCGAGCTTTCTGCTGCCGTAATTGCGGTGCGTCTGCGAGCAGGTAGCATCTTGTGGATTGGGAAATGACCCATTTTTGTGTTGTCAGTTAAAAGTGGAGGATGTATTTTGATTGGCTATAATTGATTGTCAGTAATAAGCGAACGTCAGTAAAGAACGGAGGATGCCGGTACTCAAAAAGATAAGCGAGAATGCGGCGCATCTGTCAGTACCCTTTTTCAGAAATTCTCTGAAATTTATTTCAGAGTCTACCGGTGATACCACTTTCCGCGCTGTTGAATATATTAGACTATAGCAAACGCCCTCTTTGCTTGAATGCTACATCTGCTGTACGGGTCACCCATTTCTCAAACTTCATAAATAAAGTTTTTTGTTAAAAAAAACACTGGCTTCGTAATTGAAAGGGTCTGATTGTCCGGACATTTTATATATAAGACTACACAATACGCAGTTATCGATGCAAAGCAGATTGTAAAACCCGTTATATCGTATACCTCTTGCCGTTATGAATCACCCACGTGAATGTTGACCCTGTCGGCGACGCGTCCATCTTCGCGCAACCCGCATCCGTAAGTAATTTATTCGGTAATTTATGGCGTGGGTTTTTCTTGGGATAAATGCAGGGTCCGAGCCCTGAAAATTCCAGGCGCAAGCCCAACCCAAGGCCGAGGTCAACAAGGTCAACCGCGCACCCCAATACCGCCAAGGCGCCCGGGCAGCGTTTCTCCTTCGTGTCCACCGTGGCGCCATCTCCACGCGCCGTATCGGGCGCGGCCTGGCGAGAACATGGTGGTCGAGGAGATGCTCGCGTTCTGCGAAGGTCTGAGCAACCCAAAGCTGGGTGTTGGGGCCTATCATCGTAGCAGCTGCGAGGCTCATGCTCATGGCTCTCGCACGCAGATCAAAGGTGGGGTCACGCACTACGGCGCAGCCCACTCGGTCAACTATGACTCCTGCTACGGGCTTTACCCGGAAAGGGGCGAGGAGTACGCGGACGGGTCCATCAAGAATATCCATCTCGTGGGCCACAGCGACGGCCAACATCCACACCCAAGAAGACCTCGAGGCGCTGTGCAAGAACCCCATCAACACTTACGTGGAGAACAATTGCGCCACGATGCTCAGCACCACGCTAGTGAATGACACTATCGCCACTGCCGCAGAGGCGACTACGACGGACAAACCCGAGAACTTAGTGCAGTATCACGAATCAGTGTAAGTGAGTATAACTAGTTTTTGCTGTTCTGTTGCCCTCCTACACTATTCTGCTTGCAATCGTTGCTACCTCTCACGATGTAAGTAATAACTAGGGTCCAAAGTCGCACTGGAAATTTCAGAGCTTCCTTGTGCTCAGCACGACTTTGTAGGCTTACTGGGTGCTTCAAAAACCTAAGTTTACCGTTTGGACATAGACTTTTTGTACCCACTGTACATCGCGGACGAGCCAAAAGCCAAAGATGTCGGACGAGCAGCCGCGCGCGATGGAGAGCCCGAGCCTGGAGCTCAAGCAGCTCGGGCGCGAGACCAAGAGCCTCAAGCACAGGCACAAGAGCAAGCGCGCGCAGCAGCAGCGCCAAGAGGGCGGCGCCAAGCAGGCCGGGGAGCCCAAGCGCTCGCCGACCGCGGCGTCCCCCGGTCGCCACCACGTGCACGGCAAGCGCAACGCCAAGGCCAACCGGGAGGACGCACTGCGCGAGCTGCTGGCGGGCAAGATCGCGGAGATCGAAGTGGGTGGCGACGAGAACCTCGAGGCGCCCATCGACCTCTCGGGTGAGGGCGGGAATAGCAATTCGAGGGGGGAACTGCAGAAATTAATGCTGCGGTGATGGTGCCACTGTATCTGTTGCTAGGGATTTACCAGGACGAGGTGCTGCCCGTGCAGATGAAGGAGAAGGCGGAAGCGGTGAAGGAGAGCGAGGAGATGCTGGCGGAGGAGAAGGTGGCGGAGCTCGTCAGCAGTCTCAACCAGGCGGTGCGAAGATCGTTGTCTAGGAGGGAGGACGAGCTGGACGGGGAGACTGATAGAACGCTGGGTGTTGGTCTCTGTAGAGTGAACAGGTGGCTCTGATGCAGAAGAAGATCGGAGAGCTCAACGCCAAGTGTATTTTGCTCAAGCAACGCAAGAGCGCCGGTACGAACACTGGGCAGGATGGGATTGGGGGCGGTTGGAGTAAGGTGCTAATGGTCTGATGCAGTGAGTAGCGAGTTGGTCAAGACGAATACGTCGAAGGCTAAGCTGGAGCAGCTCTGTCGGGAGCTGCAGAAGCAAAACAAGCTGATTGTGGTACGCGAACATCATGGCAATGGCTTTGATCGGTTTGCGGGGTTAAATGGGCATGTTCTGTGTGGCTGTGTAGAGCGAAAGCCGTCGCATCGCTGACGAAGAGGACCAGAAGAGGTATGTTTAGTGATGTACGGACGGGTACGAATGATATTTGTAGGTATCTTACCATTGCATCTCTAAATGTTGTGTTGCAGGCGCGAGCTTTCGGCCCAGTTTCAGAAAACCATTGAAGATGTGAGCGCAAAGATGGATAAGCAGGGCCAGGACTACGTGGCTTCGTTGAAAGAAAACGAAAAGTACGTCTGTAGCGCTACTAGATTGTCGTTGACGCGAAAACTTATATTTTGTACTACGTGCGCAGTCTTCAGCAAAAGCTAAAGGCGTTCCTCGAGCAATATACGGCGCGCGAAGAGCACTTCCAGCGACAGCTAGAGGCTAAGGACCTGACAGTCCAGCTAGCGGAAACCAAGCTGCAACACCAGGTAGAGCTCACCGCCCGTGAGGCGGAGAAGGTGAAGATCACTCTCGACAAGGCCAAGGAGTTTTCCGACCGCGAGGTTCAGCTGCAGGCGCAACTCAACTCGTACTCAGAGAAATTCGACGTGGTGCAGGAAACGCTGACGAAAAGCAATCAGATGTTCACTACTTTCCGGGAGGAGATGGACAAGATGGCCAAAACGACCAAGAAGCTGGAGAAGGAGAACCTGGCGCTCAGAAAGAAGTGCGCAGCGTACGACAGCGGTGCGATCGCATCTATTCAGGAGAAGGTGGCGTCTGCGGAGGAGACGCAGAAGCTGCAGGAGAAGCTCAAGAAGCTGGAGAGTCTGTGTCGTCACTTGCAGGCGGAGCGCAATAGCTTCCGGCAGGCCCAGCAAGGCCAACCAACTGCCGCTACCACTGAATAGGCGTGATGATCCCCAGTCGAAGTGCAACTCGCGCACATGACCAAATATAGCGGATCAATCGCAAGACTTGTCGACGGTAATAGATCCCCGCACCACCTTATGATTCTTCCTTAACCCCGTTGCAAAGTGAAGGCACAATCTGTGAGAGCAACTAGCAGCGGCGATGAGGTCTGCTGCGAGTACCGGGGGTACTGCAGACGCGCCGAATGCTGCGTTCCTGCACGCGAAAAAGCGCATGGGCGGCAAAGAAGCCCCTGTCAACTACTCCTTCGAGGAGCGGGTGTTCTGTCCAGGCGATACTGCGCCCGACAAATCTGCAGCGAAGCTGGAGGTTGTTGAGATGCTTCAGTCGCGCATTCTCTCAGCGGAGAAGCCTGAATGGAACATGTCGAACTCGAACTGGGACAACATGCAGATGACGGGCAAGTGTTACAAGAGAACCAATGTCAATGCCGAGGTACGCAGTAGCGAAATGATCTACACGTAGTGCGAAGCTGAACGAGTGTGCGTTCATTGTTATTGTCAGCGAAATCGCGCGCACATGTTCGCTTACAACTTCCGTGCCGAGAAGCTACCGAAGAAGAATCCGACGCTCAAGCCCAAATCCAACCGCTTCAACACAGGCATCCTGGAAGTGGCTCTGAAGGACGAATATGTGGGCGAAGCCTTCGGGAATGAGCGCGTGATGAAGGTACGTTCATCCGTTGTTGGGGTATACAGAGGAGCTACGTCGACTTAGTAGTAGTATCTCTTTCTTGCAGGGAATCGCCAAGCGCACAGAAGAACTGCCAAACCACCCGGACCTGTACGACGCCAAGCCTTGGAACCAATCCGTCGAGCTCACCAAGAGCGTTCGCAGGGACCATGTACGTAGGCGTTTGTGTGTGCGAAAGAGTATCCGGAGGCTGTATTGACCCAGGACATACATATTTGTGATGCCTACTCCCGGTAGTTTGTAGCATTGGAGGCGGCTCGACAGACCAACAGCGACAAGTGGCGGCAGAAGGTTGGCGCCAAAGACAACTACAAGAGCCCGGAGCAGCTCTCCAAAGAGCTGTCGATGCGCAAGCGCCAGGAGAAGCAAGAGCTCGTAGCTGCCAAGTCGAACCAGCGCCACTAGGTTTACCGAAAGTAATACACTTTGCATTCTATGGTGAACGGGCGCGTCGTTTTGCTAGGAGACGCCATTACTCGAGTTCACTGCTGTAGAGGAATTCCGTACAGCACCGATGTCGACGCCAACTCCCCCGGAATCGCTCGTGCAATATGGCGAGCCAATCTTCACGGGCGAGACGATGGATCCTCCAAAGAAGCTGCCCGGCGTTGTCAGCGCAGGCGCTTCCTCCAACTCGATCACAGCAGCGACCGTCGTGGCAGCAGCCGCTGAATCGGGCGGGTCGGCAGCGAACGGCAAAGGCTCCGACGGTGTCGCTCGGGTCGAAGATGTCCTAAACGCCATCTTGCCCCCTCAGTACGTTCTTCACTGTTGATTGAGGATGGCCGTGGACAACACTAACACCTTCGCTTTCAGGATGTGGTCCGAGGAAAACTCGGGATTCTGGCTTCGATACGCGTCGAGCGTGCCCTCGACCCGCTTCGACGTGCTCAAGCTGCAGGAAGCCCTCGACGCGAAGCTGCTGCAGCGCCAAGCTCGAGAGAGCGGCATCTGTCCTGTGCGGGAGGATCTCTACTCGCAGGCGTTCGATGAACTGATCCGAGAGGTGACGCTCAACTGCCCTGAGCGAGGGCTCTTGCTCCTGCGTGTGCGCGACGAGCTTCGACTCACTACGGATGCGTACAAGACGCTATACGACTCGAGCCTTACCTTTGGCGTGCGAAAGCAGCTGCAGGCCGAGGACGGCATGGGCGATTTGGCCGAGCAGATCGCAAACCTTCAGCGCGACAAGGAAGAAAGCGAGAGCAAAGTGGCGGAGCTCTCGAACAAGCTCGAGGTGATTGAGAAGCGGGCAGCCGAGCGCAAGGCCCTGCAGGAGAAGAAGTTCAAGGAGGAGCTGGACTTCCTCAAGTACCAAGGACAACACCTTGATGCCTTCCTCAAGTCTGCTGGAGGGGGCACGACGGGTATCTCCGCTGCAGGAGCCAAGTAGCCTAAGACTAACCAAAACTTGCAGCAACATTACGTACCAATACCCACAGGCCAACATGTAAGCGATACCTCGTACTCGTTTCGATGAACCTCGTACTCAGTAGTCTTAGACTACTGCCTTAGAGCTAAGCTACGTTGCACCGTTGTCTCCGCTGCCGGGGTCAGGCTTCGGTTGGCTCATGCCAGCCGCCATCTCGGTTAGAAGAGCGTGTGCCGCTGTCACGTACTTCATCTGTTCTTGCGCTACTTGGCGACGCACTTGCTGCCGCTGGACGTGGGGCAGCAAGAAGCTGGCTACGAGTTCTCGCACCACGGATTCATCACTGTCCAATTCATCCTCGAGTTGCAGCACGATGCCATCGACACCAGCACTGCGAACGCGCAGCTCCAGCAATGCTTGGGCGTGAGATTGCTCGAGCGCCACTTCCTCCAGCACGTCGTCTACAAAATCGCGAGATGTCTCCTGGTGCACCTGCATGACGCGCCGGAAGACCTCGTCTTCGCGCTCACGCAACAGATCCTCAGCCTGCCGCCGCCCCCCTTCCTCCACCTCACGCACTCGTCGCTGCTCTGCTGCCTTGATCACGAAAGCACGCATTTTGGCCACCTCACGCGATCTCGAGAGCTCTTTGGACAGGAAGTCGAGCATTTCAGACACCACTTCGCCCTCCACGCGGGTCTTCGCAGCGCTCGTCACTCGGTCAATCGCCTCGGTGCCGGATCCCTGTAGCAACTCAAACTCGTGGCGACGCTGCCGTGCGAGCTGCTCGTCAGCTGCACGTAGCTCAGCAATGAGCTCTGCGCGTCTCTCCTTGCCTTCGAACATCATATTCTGGACAGCACGACCGCGCAGCAGTTTCTGCAGCAAACGCACTGCGCCTTCCACTTCATGTTCCTGTGAGTCTGCAGCGTGACCCATGGCGTAGTCGGGAGTGGGGGGACGAACAAGCGTCTGCTGTCTCTGACTAGCACGCCGTGAAAGCGGGCTGGGGGCTCTCTGTCGCAGTTGACCAGGGGTTTCAGGCGTACTGTCGCCACCTTCAGCTTGTTCCTTGCTCTTCTTGATGATCGACTCCATCTTGAGGAGGTGAGCCTCAATGGCTGCCTGCTTCCGTTCTTTGGCGGTGCGACCACTCTTCTCGCGGGGTTTGTACTTGCCTGCTGCAGGTAGCAACATCCGCTCTGGTAGAGCGCTCTCAAGCTCACGCAGCGCATCAAGCTGCAGGAACTGAGGCTTGCCAATGCCTAGCTCACGAACCTCAATCTTACCTGCCTTGCCGTCGCGCGTGACTGGAGCATACACTTGTGAGCCAAAGTTGGCGTACTCAGCGATGATGTCACGCCCCCGTTCAGGTCGAGACGCCCCGAATCCACGCTCTTGCTGCCGCTGGGCTCGCTTTTTCGTCAGTTTTCGCAGAGCTGCCATGCGCTCTTGCTGGATGCTCTCAAGCGCGTTTTCCTTTTCGTGGAGAAGCCGTTGGCGTAGCGCTTCAAGTCGTTGCTCCGAAAGGAACGCGTTCTCCTTTTCACGCTCCGCCAGCGCTTGCTCGAGTAAAGCCACGCGCTGGTCGTGAAAAGCATCAATCTCAGCTTCACGGTACGCCCACTCACGAGTTTCTTGGGCTTCCAGCATGGCTTTACGTAGCAAAAAGCTGGCCTCGTCGGTCATGGGTGGCAGCGATGCCTCGAACGCGCGCTTCTTGCGGTTGCGCTCGATGAGCTCAAGCTCAGCTTGCCCGATTGGTAGCTGTCCACGCGCGTGACTCAATCCGCCGAGCGTTGCGATTTCGGGAGTCGAACCATTTGCAGTCTTCTGGACAGTGTAGTCCGGGGTGTACGGGTCGGTTTGTGCCTCCGAGTCGCGATAAGCGGTTTGGATCCCCACTGATCGCGTGTTTCCGTCGACCGCATCCGCAGCAATGTAGGGCGATGCCGATGACTTCGCAGGTCCTTGGCGTTTGACAGGTGGGGCCGGGGGCGCGAATGCCGGAGCAAGCAACACTTCTGGTGGCTCGGCTTGCAAATGTGGCAGTACTGGCCTACGGTGGAACTTGACGCGTTGGCTGCCGCTGACGAGGTGGCTGCCCTCGGCTGGGTTCTGGTTGTTGAGGGTGCTGCTGGTACTCGCTGGTTTCGAGGAGGATCGGAAGACTCCCTTGCGAAACGAGCCGCCGGAGTTTGAGACCGTGTACACAGTATCTACGGACCACGATGGGCAGAGGAACAACACACAGTTAGATGCTTCTCGACGCGTACTCGAAGCATCCAGGAGGCCTACCATAGACAGGATCGAGCGCTCGAGATGGCACTGTCCGCGACATCCTGCTGCAGCGCGTCTGTAAGATCGACGGGTCGCTTGTACTTCAAGAATCGCGGCAAAACCGTTTCGCAGAAGACTGCGTAAATACCCAGCACAAGCAACAGCGAGGACGGCATCAACAAGTTCATTTTTCGCCTGCTGCGGAGATACCTCACCGAACACTACGCACACGCTTCCGGACACCAAAATGAGCGCATGCACCAAACTGTCCCATCGTTCTAACCGCTCAAGACGACACACTCTTGGCGTACTTGAGCGCGAGCTGCTTTGAGTGAGTCACGCAGTCAGCCAGGCCAATGCCGTAAAAGCTGTTGCCGCCCAGGAACAGGCCCGGAGCGCTGCGTGCAGCCTGCTTCTCGATGCGTTGCAGTGTCTGGCCGAAGCCCACGTGGTACTGGGGGATTCCGTTGGTCAGAGCCATGGCGCGCACGTAGTCGGGCTTGCGCGTGATGCCAAGGTGTCGCTTCAAGGCGTCCAGGGCATTGCGCTCCAGCTCTCCTTCGGGCAGCGAGACCACCTCCTGGAAGTGCGCACCGCCGCTCATGACGCTCAGGCGCGTCTGCATCATGCCCTCCGCGTTCTGCACGGGGAACGTGTTGGAGTCAAACACGACGCCGAGCACCTTCTCACGCTCTGCAGTGGGGATCAGGTATCCGAACCCCTCGGTAGACAGCACCTTCTCGTTGTATCCAACGTGCACCATGCCCATGCCGACGAACTTGATCTCGCTCAGCGCTTCAGCCAATCCAGGCGCCGAATCCTTCACCGCCGGAGCCAGGTAGCACGCGGGGATAGTCGAGAACACGTGCGAGGCCTTAATCGGCTCCCGGATCTCCCCGGACACTGGGTCCTTGCTTTCCACGACGAAACTCGGTCCCTTAGTCGACCCGTTGTTGTGTCCATGCACCGCGAGCCGCGTCACTTTCGTGTTCAGCAGCAGATCGGCCATCGGGTCGGCCTTGATGTTGTCCGCCAGAGCGTCCATCAGCGTGCTCATTCCGTCCGCGAAGCTCACGCTGACGGACTTTTCGTGCTTCTTGACAAAGTCCGACTTCTTCGTGCCGTCCAGCAGCGTGTCCTGGCCACTGGATCCTCCGAAGAGCATGCCCTTGACCACCGACCCGTGCTTTCTCTCCAGATCCACCAGCATGGGGAAGCACGCGCGCATCGACAGCTTCCTGATGTCTCCGCCGAAGATACCTGACGCCATGGGGTCCAGCAGCCTCTCGGCCACCACGGGGCTGAACCTCCTGGCCGTCCACTTGTAGATGGACTCGTCCTCCATCGTCCCGCGCTTGACGAACAGCTCGCGCAGCGCTGCGCGCGCCACCGCAAGCGTCAGCGGCCAGCGCGCAAGCTCCAGCAGCGACCCGGGCACCTTCTCCACCTTCCCGTCGCGCAGAATGTAGCGCGCCTGGGCCGCCGGGCCCACGGCCTGCATCTGGCTCTGCAGCTGCAGCTGCTCCACGAGGCGCAGCATCTCGGCGCCGTTGCGCGAGGGCCGGAAGCCGCGCGGGCCCTCCTCGAACAGAAAGCCCTCGCGCCTCGCCGTGCGCACCCATCCGCCCGAGACGGAGCTGGCGTCCAGCACGCGGATGCGCGTGGCGTCGGCCGCCGCCTTGGGCAGCGCCTGGCGCAGGAAGTAGGCCAGCGTCAGGCCCGAGATGCCGCCGCCCAGCACCACCACGTCGCGCGCAGCTCCGACCATTTCTCGTCCCGTCAATTGGCTAATGGGGGATTTGATCCGCTCCTGGTTGGTAGAAATGCGGCCGGTTCAACATGGATACGAAACGCGGGCGATTCGCTGGAAAGGACGGAGTCTAATGAGATAAGGATCGCGGTAGGATAAAATTGAAGTAAACAGGCCAATGGGAAACTGCACGAAGGATGCAATGCATATTGTTGTTATAAATTGACCGGCGACTGCGTTCTGCCTTTGGAGCGCGGCGCGGGCTAATAAAGGAGGGGAAGTGCATCTACTGGGCGTAGTGCGCGCGCTTAGGTGCTCGGCGACTGGACCTTCTTGCCCTTGAAGAGGCCGCCGAGCGCGCTGAGACCGCCCGCCGGCTTGGCGCCCTCTCCGCCAGGGGCCAGTCCCTCGCTCTCCTGCTTCTGCTGCTTGGCACGGCGCTCCAGCTCCTGCAGACGCGCCTCCAGCTGGTCGTACGTGCCCTTGGCGACACCGCGCAGACGCTTCTGGAGGATGATGGCCGACACGATGAGCGGCAGCAGGAACAGGCTCAGGAACAGCGCGCACAGCGAGATGGCGAGCGTCGTGCCCAGCACGTCGTTGCAGAGCGCCTCGTTGATGGCGTCGAAAGACAGGTTCGTCCACGAGCAATCGCCCGAGCAACGTGTCTGCTCCACGGAGGTCAGCAGGTTGCGCACAGCTCCGTTCTCTCCCAGCATCGTGGAAATCGGGCCGGTCTTCAGAGCCGTGATCTTCGTAAAGTAGTTGGTGGCGAACTCGCTGATCGAGACCGAGTAGTTCCACTGCTCGGGGAAGGTCTTGCCCGTGTCGCCCAGAAGCGCCTCGCGCATCTCGTCCAGCATCGTGCTCGCCTTGTCGAAGGCCAGCATGTACTGGTAGGCGTCGCTGAACGCGACCTGGCAAGCAGCTTGGAGCTGACTTCCGGAGTCGCCCGAGTCACAGTGCTCGTTCATGTAGCACACGGGAAGATCATCAATGGCCGAGTTCGCGCAGCTTGCGTAATACGTTGAAGGCAGGTTGTACGCCAACCACGGGGTCAAGACGTTCTCTGTCGTGAACTTGACCTTCGGCGCGATTTTCGCCTTCTCGGCTGCGGTCGCAAGAGTTGACACGAGGCTTCTGGAGCGCGTCGAGTTGAAGCTGAAGTCCGTTAGGTCGTAGTTGGAGACGATCTCGCCGTAAGTCGAAATAATGGTCGGCACGCTCGTCGTATCCACGGCCTGCACAACGGCGTATTCGTCTTCCACGTTACACGAGAACGACAACGGCACATCAAGTCCCAGCGGCGCCAGGATGTTGCTGCCATTGAAGCAGGCGTTCGCCATTGCGGACATCTGCGTCGATGCGTAGGGAGACATGTCCTGGTGCATCACCTTCATGTACTGGCACGAGTCGTACCACACCGCTCCGACAGCTAGGAGCGACGCTGACAGGACGAAGCTCAACACAGCCACAAGCACGCCGAGAGCCCAGCTCACGTGCAGCAAGTGCACCCACTGGGTCGTCTTGGCAGTGCACGCATTCTTCACAATGGCGATGATGCCAACAATCGACGCGATCATGCCGAAGAAGAACACGCAGACCACGAGAGCGCTGCGGGAGAAGGACAAGTTGTTGAACGTGCTGCTAAGCACATCCACGACATCCATGGAGCTGTTGGTCGTGGCGCCCAAGACCGCAATGTCGCGCGCCGCAGTGCGCAGAGTTGCGTCGAGATCAGCGCTTCCGCTCACGAGCGAGCTGAACAGCAGACCTACCGCATCTCCAACAATGTCGCTACTGGCCGTGATGGCAGCGGCGCTGTTGTTGACGAAGAACGTAACCGGTGAGCCGCAGACGCGGTCGGGGCATGCCAAGCAGAACGTCTCCTTCGAGGTGGGGTCGCAGGTCGGGGACGGGAACGCGCCGTGATTGTAGTAAATACTGCCGAAGTCTGCGAGCATCTGCCTCAGTGTAGCGCCATCAGTAGCGATCCAAGCCGAGTTCTTGAGCTGAGCGTTCACCGCCTTCATTGCAGCAGTAAGCTCGGTCGTGGCGTTGTTCAGAGGAACGAGCAGGTTCGACACGAAGATGTTGGCGTTTTCCAGGGTGGCCTTCAGAGAGTACAGCACTCCTTCGACGCCATCCGAGATGTTGGTGTTCAGAGCAGCAGTGATGACCATGCAGATGAAGACTGCGAGCGAGCACACGAGGAAGGTGAGCGTCGGGACGATGATATCGCAACGCGAGTAGCCCTTCTCGTTCGGCTCACGGCCACCGCATTGGTTGAACATGCACCGAGCCACGACGAAGCCGATGCAGCCCAGCGCTGTGAGCACGCCCATGACGGTACCGGGAGCCACGAACGGCGCCAACGAGCTCGGATAGCCTGTTGACATCCACTTGGTCGCAGCAGTGACATCAGCGTCGGTGAAGAGCTGGCGACGGGTCTCCGTTCCGTTCACCACCACGTCATCCCACTTGCAGTTGCTCCGGCGCTCGCACTTGCCCTTGGTGTTGCATGAGTCAGCGTCAAGCATGACCACGCACTTGCCGTTGATGTCGCGCACCGCGTCGCTGCTCGACGAGTCCACGCAGCGCTCCAGCTCAGCGTCGGACGAGGACTTGACGCAGATGTACGTGGTGAACTTGACCAACGAGTCCTTGTACCAACTGTCGCTCTTCTTGCGAAGCCCTGCCATCGCCGTGTTGCCCGCGACGGCGCTCAACTTGAGCGCACTTTGACGAGCCGTCTTGTAGGCCACGACGGCGTTGGGCTCATCAGAGTTAATCTCCGCGGACGTCATTCCGGTCGGCGACACGTAGTTGGTGTTGTTCAAAGTGCGCGCCGGGCAAGTGGCCTGCCACGCCAACGATGACGCGTCCGAGCAGGTTGAGGGCCACGTGGTTGTGCCCGCAACGAGCGGATTCCAGCCCATCGTTGTGCTGAGGAGCAAGGCGAGCCCCTCCCGATAGCGCATGGTGTCGATGCTTGATCTCGGTCTGCTGCTTCCTCCCGCACTCGCTCAATCCAAATCGAGAATGAGCTGCCAGTCCGACAGCAAAGCAGAAACCAACGAAGCCTCTGCTGCTTCCAGACAAGACGTCAGGCAAGATGAACACGCACGGAGATAGATAGCTGGAGGTTTCCATCTATAATCGGGGCAAGCGCGTGGGGGTAAATATACTTTGTGGCAGCATCGCAGATGAATTGGCGACGTGTGTGGCGTGGTGCGTTCAACTTGCTCCATGTATTTAGACTCTTATCAGAACCTGAGGCCACTCCTTGCCCTTCAAGAATGTGTATGTCGAAGTTGCTCTCGTTAAAGCACTGGTGAAGTATACTCGATGTCCATATCCCTGCGTTGCATACTGGTCCTGAAATTCCATGCATAATGCTTCACAGCTTCCGCTTGTCTAGCAGTGAATGCGGCACGTCCAAGTACCATACCTGTAGTTTGCCCTTGTTACTGTGACTAGGCAACGACGACTGCATGGCTGCAATGGCATTTTGATAGTTTTTAGTTTTTGGTGAGGTACATTACATTTGTACAGTCATTTAGTTTAGCTAACGACTCAGCCAATGTCCGTCCGGCAGAAGCCTACACATCTTCTGCCAGCTTGCTAGCTACTGGTACTGGTGCTAGCACATGCGTGTCGGGCGGGCACGCCATCATGTATGAGCCGGTCAGCGGCGCCGTCCCCGTCGTCCGCGTCCGGGTAATGGCATTTTGATACGGCTCAAGACATTGCAAGACTACTAGGACATATTAATACATACTTGCAGTAGAAAAAGCCCTACCTTACGTAGTCCTCATTGGGATCATCGGTCCCCATTTCAGTGCTGATGTATTACTGTACAAACTGTAATTATGCCCCGTGAGGTATTGCAGCAGTACCCCCTGCCAACCTGGGGCATTATTACAAGGGGGGCACTATTAAAGGGAGTGGGGCACCAAAAACAACTAGCGTTAAAAAGTATATTTACAGAACTAGTAATGGAGCATCTCAGTCGCGTTGCTCCGTTGAGTTGCTTCGGGGGTCGACACCCTGCAGTGGAGTCTCCACTTTAGGCCGACGTCCCCACCCTCTAATTGATCTTATCAATCACCATTATTTTTTTTGTAGTGTAGTGAAGCAAACTTGCGTGTTCGCGACCGTTGCAAATTAGAGTCTCAGTTTAACCCGTGCAGGTCATCAAACCAATAAGCAATTAGCAACACTGGTGGAGCTGCATGATGAAGTCTTCATTATCAGCAAATAGCGTTACTATCTATCGCGAGGCAAGATAATCAACGGCAATTACACACCAGCAGCAAGAGAGCACTAATGATGCTGGACTATATCTCGCGAAACCCTAGATCACGGTTAACCGCAAGGGTGAGCTGCAGCACCAGCGGTTCAAGATCAATTAGTGGTAGCCGACAGCCCAAAGCAAAATACATGTAGCAAGGGATAATTGTTGTTAAAAGCTATAATATTCAGTTTCGATTGTCCAGCATACTCAATACAGCATATCGGCTCCCGATGCCTGCCGTACTTCCTCTCTACACCTTTGCCAATCCAAGTTGGCAGTAGTGTAAGGCAAAGCCGAGAGTCCCGTAAATACGAAAAATATTTTTTTCAAAAATTTATTTTCGAGGATTAGTACAGACCAATGTGGATTTAGTCCACAGCAAACATCTAAGTTCCATACTCCATGGGCTCGCTACGAATAGCAGCGGCGACAGACCTTGCGTCCGCTTACAGTACAGGTTGTAGTTGGTCTCGTCATAATACACGATAAAAGCACCGTTCCGCTCATGCTTCAGCAATGCTACATACCATATCGCGGCCGTTCCGACATCCCTACATATTCCGACAAATAGGACACATACCTAAATTATTAACCAAATGTAGGTTGTTCTCTCCAAAGTACAACAGCGGTGAAAATGGCGATGGTGTTGAACACAAGCACAAGCAGCTAATACTAAGTGTAGTAGAAGAAATCAAAGAGTCTAAGAATGGTTAATTATATTAGTGCAGTCCGTCACCTTCTAAGATGCTGTACCTCGGCAATCATGCCGGTTGTTGCAGCACGCGTAGTCTAACGTCCTGCCACTCCTGTCCATCTCATTCGAATTCGCCAGCCTCGAACGCGGGCCCACCAGCGAGGTCATGACGGTGTTGCTGGGGGGCTTGGGCTGCATCTTATCCGTGGCAGTGACGCGCATGTGGAAACCCAGCACGGGTCCGCCGCTTTCACCGGCGTTGGTGGGCCACTTGCTGCATGTAGCCTGACAGACGCCCCGCTTTTTTAACTTGCTCAACGTGCGGTCCTGTAACCACGCACACCCGCCCACCTTCTTGCCCTTGGCCTTGGTCGTCTCGCTGCCGGTCGTGTCCACGGTCACGAGGGCCACCTTGCAATTGACGGCGACGATCTTGGGACGCATGACAGCCGCACGAGCAGTAGGACTTGCCGAAGCCTCAGGAGTAGTAGCCCTCGACGGAGGCGGAGTCGTGGATGCTGTGTCGGTGACCTTGTTGTTGGCCGCCACCGCAGCTGACCTGCTGGCCGAGCTGCCCTTGGTGCACAGCGCATCCGCTCACCAGGCAGCCTTCTTCAGCTCTACTCGCTCTTGATCATCTCGCCGTCGCGCAGTTCTCGCCGATGTAGTTCCCTCGTGCAGCAGCTCCACGGTGCTGCTCGCCGCGTGCACGCGCACCACCTTCGCGAAGCGCGCCGCGGCCTCAAAGGCACGGCATGCTCCAGCCCACGACGGGTGCTTGAGACGTCATGCTGCCGAATGTCCTCGAACGCGTGCGCGGTGGTGACGGCGTTGCGCGAGAGCCCCACTTCCCCGCTTGCCGTCGTGGTCACGATCGTGCCCTTGGCCGTGCTCTTGGCCGCGCCTGCGTCGCGTGTGGCGGCACGCGTCGCAGCCCTCCTTGCCTGGACTTGGTCACTTGGTCGCCATGTTCCGAATCTTGAGATGACAGATGACCAATCAAACCTTTTGAACTCAAACCTCCCGTCCTACTTTAGGATACGTCCTACTTGTCAGAATGGCAAAAATATTTGAAAAATATGTTTGCTACTTGACTTTTGTAAACACATATACATATTTTGGCCAGTCTTCCGACAAATATTTGTCGGAAAGTGTCGGAACGCGTTCACCTAACCCTAACCTATTGCATTGGATAAAATATCCACACCAGGCAAAAATGATAGGCTGTAATTCAGGTGGAGATCAGCCTTAACTTATGGCTCAGCCATAAGTTAAGGACATTATGTCGGCAACGCGGCCGAAATATGTATTCATCCCATAGGAAATCTAAGTAATAAGGATATAATATACATATCTGTTCTGCTGCCGACAAGTTACTTAGCTTTTGTATTGCCTTTGACGAGCTGATTTGAGCCTTTGCAATAGCGTTTCAACCATTATCACGAACTCAATCGAGTTTCCTGGGCACGCCTATCGACCTACCCATAACATGAACAAGCAGCACTCAGTGAGAGCTGCTCATTCAGGAGTGTCGCTCAGGCGGAGCTTGCTGCATACCGCTAGGATCCAATGCAGAATATACAAGAAAACCATTAATTTATTCCATTTATTATCAATAACTTATTCCTACTCAAGAGTACTAGACGCTAGTGGTGGGGTGTGACTGCGGAGCATTCCACCTGCAGCGATACCCCACCAACAGTGCCAGTCCACACAGCAGCAGCAGCACCCCACCAGCGTCGCGTTGTTGGTGCCAACACCAGCACGCAAGCCGCAGCAAGCCACAGCAGCCACGCCCTCCTCCTGCTGCACGCTTCCCTATGCTCGTCGCCTCCCAGCAGGTCGCTGCGCCCTTGCGCTCGTTTCCCTCCGCTCGATGCCCTTACCGCTCGCCTTGGCGGCTACCCTCCCCATCGCCCCACCTCCGGTCCGCCGCCTCTTGTCGTTCGCTCCGGTTCTCCTCCTTCCCGCCGTCTATCCTCCACGGCGCGGCCGTCTTGTCCTGCGCCGCCATCCTGGTGCCCACCGCCCTGCTTCAGGTAACCGTCATCGTCGTGCTGCGCGCCATCTTCCTAGCCTCCACCGCGGACCACTCGCCCGCCGTCGTGCAGCCTACCGCCGTCCTCCCAGACACCACCCACATCTTGGCAGGCGGAACTATGCAGCCCCCCCCCTTTTCGCCGACGTCCTTCGGCTCGCCGCCCTCCTTGATGACCCACCCGCCGTCCTTGCGGCCTGGCCTGCATCTTGGAATTTACATTTGAGTCAAATGATTTGACCAATAGATTAACCGCTCAACTAAATGCTTATTTCTACCAATCACGACGCTGTCGGCACCGTCATGGTATGGATGAATATAGTGGTCTTAACTTATGGGCCATACGTATCATGTCGGCGACATTATACGTCGGCCATAGTGTCGGCAGCAAATATACCTACCCCTAACCATGTTGATTGGCCTAAATAGGGATCTACGGGGTGTTATTCGCTGAAAAAACGTATTGGACATCTGATTGGGCCATGGCCGCCATACAGTGGCCAAGTCAAGTTCTTGTATGTCGGCACCGTCACGATATTCCTCCATATCACTTTTACCATATCACTTACCGGTATTAATAATACAATTTAAAAATTGTTACACTATCGCAAGGTTATCTATTCTATCGGCAGCAAGTGGTTGCGAGGAGCACAGCCAAAGCAAACCCGCGCGCGTAGGAGGGCCCAGCAACCAGCAGGGCAGCGAACGAACCCGTCGTTGCGGCTTGGAGCTAGTTCCGTAGTGTGGGGTGCGGGCCCCCAAGGTATTAGGAGACCACCTGCGTCACTGCCAGGAGCTATCTGTAGGCAACAGGCTGTAGCTTCACAGAGTATTGGACATGGTGAGCTTTGCGTAGCACGTATCCATGCAGGCAAGTTGAAGTGCACTCTCTTTTAGCAATTCTACCCTTCCCAGCACTAACTCACTCGTAGTAATGGATGCAAGCGCTGACTTGGCGCACTAAATCAGAGTGAAGCCGAGGACTTGGTGGCGTTTTTTTTGCGCTCGGTGCGATCTAAAGTGTAGCAATTTATCTAAACCCGCGATTCGCTTCCCGATGCCTGTTTGATTAGCGTTTATCGTCGAGGCTAAATCGTGTCCCCCCACTTTAATGGCATCGACCCCTTCTCAGAAGGGGTCACTCCAGTTTTTACGCAGTTAAGCGTGTCTATGGATCAAGAGAGGGTTGTTCAATCGAGGTTTCTTGCGCAATTTTTGGCCCCGGGGAGGTGATTCTAGATGTAAACCCTAACCGTTCATGTCTCAAAGTAAGAGAGGTAAGTTAAGCGAGGTAAGAAATAGAGTAAAGAGGAGTGATAGATGATTTTAAGTGGGGACTTCGTCCCCAATAAATTTAACAGTAATCACCGATATTAGTAGGTCCACATACAAATCTTAAGATTATATTGTGAAATAATTGGAATTTATGAGGAAAAAATCAGAATCAAACTCAAGTTTTCAGATAAAAGGTTGGGGTGGGGCACTATTAGAGGGACGGGGCATACAGTTTTTACAGTATTTTAATATTTATTAAAATAAATAGACTTTCTTCTGCGCGACATTTCCACTCACGTGAATTTCACAATAATTTTGAAGTTGCACGAAGTCGCCCAAGTTGCACGAAGTTGCCCAAACCCAAGTTGCTTTAACGAGTGTCAGAGGGATACACCCTCGGGAGCTTTCCACCGACCGCCGCGGACTGCTGCTGAGAGGTGAGCCCAAGGCAGGCAGCGCCCATGCCGGAGCAGCTCAAGAAGATGAAGAACCGGCACGTGTCCAAGCCCGCGGCGGCCCGGCAAACGTCGCCGCCAGCGTCGCCAGCGTCTGGCGCCGCGTCCTCCGTCTCCACGAGCCACCGGCGCGACCTGCTGGGCGGCTCCATCCAGGAGGTCTCGCGCAAGACGCTCATGGAGAGGTTCCGCAAGCGCGGCCGCGTGGAGAGCGCCAACTACGAGCAGCGCGCGCTCGGCGGCCGCGAGGGGCGATCGCGCGCGGCTGCCAACACGACGCTGCAGTCCAACAGCTTGTCCTTCGCCAACACGGCGGACGGCGCCGCCCCCATCGTGCTGCGCGCGGGGCGCGCGCCGCACCACGCGACGTTCCTCGTGCACAAGAACGAGAACGCGCTGGCCAGGCCGCAGTCGGCGCCCAACCTCATGGAGCAGGTGCTGCAGAGAGCAGTAGGACATCTGTCTGCATTGATACTGAAGGGTTTTGTGTGTTGGTTCATCATATTGCTAGGCGGACGACGAGGTGATCGCTCGGATCTTTCCGGACATCTGTCCGCGGGAGCTGCGCATTGCAGAGGTCAAGTCGTGGGAGTGTCCGTGGATGCACAAGGAGTTCCCAGTGGATACGGAAGCGAAGACGACGACGAAGACGCCGGTGAAGCTACTGGGCCAGCCACGGAAGGGGGAGTTGCTGTCACAGGCGGCACGTGAGTCAAGCTCGGGAGCGACAACAGTGGTGTCGCCCTCTTCTGGTGTGCACGTTGATACTCCAGCGCCTCCAGCACCTCCAGCACCAGTAAATGTCGGCAGTAATGGGGCTCATCAGGCGAGTGCGGATGTCGCGGTGGATAAGGTGGACAGTTCCGCCAAGGAACTAGATAACGAGATCGACTCGTTGACTAACCAACTATCGCTTGAGGAGAAAAGGCCGCTGCCGATATCACCAGTAAAAACCACTGAGTGGCCAGCTACAGCGGGAACGCCGCCGCCAGTATTTACTCCGCAAGGTGCTAGTACTCCTCAATGGAAAACTGTTGAATCAGCGAAGAAGACTCCAGGCAGTCGTGCAGGTAAACGTCCGCAGCTGCGACTGAAGCTGGAAGACATGCCTACACCTCAGCAGGCCGAAGAACGCGCCCAGCGAGCTGCCACCCGGCTTATTGCTAAGCGAGACGCGATGGAAGCAGCTGCGATCGCTGCAGCTGCAGCGTCAGGATCAAGTACTCCAGCGAATGGCCCAAGTGCTGCCCAGCAGGCACTGATGAAGCTAAACTTCAGTTCGGGTTCGGAATCGGATCTTCAATCCCCAAGTGGTACGTTGCTCACGCATTTTGCGGCTTGTATACGGGCGAAGAGCTAACGCTTTTGCCGTTGTCGCTTGCTGTTAAAACTTGATTACTTATGTAGAAGGTGGAAGGCACAGCGCAGGAAGCGCTTACTCTCCCAATCATGGCATGTTTACTACAAAGAACGTGGCCGTATCAGAGGCTGGGATTTCATCTCCTGATGCAGCGTGTCTGCACCTTCAAGAAAATCTTGAGCGGGTAAAAGAAATCGGTCGAGGAGCTTCAGGAGTGGTGTACAAGGCTATTCACATCCCAACACTGAAAGTGGTCGCTGTCAAGGTTAGTTGATCCGCGCTATCGCAGCTGATGTCGTAGTAGTAGCCTTGCTCACGTTTTGGTTACTTGTTTGCGTGCACTTCTCGTAGGACGTGCCAGTCTATGGACGAGGCCAGCGTCGGCAAATGGTTCGAGAACTGCATGCGCTGTATTCAAACCTCGTACCAATGTCAGATAACGATAGTCCGGTGCCTCAACATCCTGTTCCCGGGAAAAGCACCACCAAACCCAAAGCAAAGTACGTTTGGAAACTGCTAAATTGTGCTTCACCCCGCACTCTGTTGACTGAACTTTGGGCCAACTCCATTATTTTCAATGCAGGCCAAGTCCCTACATCGTCTCATTTTATGATGCCTTTGTCGATCGCCCCAAAAACTCCATTTGCATGGTGATGGAGTATATGAGCACGGGGTCGCTGCAAGATATCGTTTTACGTGGTGGATGCCAAAACGAAAAGGTGCTGGCTCGGCTTGCCACTGGCGTATTACACGGCTTAGCCCACATTCATAATAAGCGGATGGTGCATCGTGATATCAAGCCGCACAACTTGCTGACGAATCGACAGGGCGAGGTGAAAATCTCGGATTTTGGTTTGGCGCGTACACTAAATGATAACTCTACCACGACAAAAACGTTCGTCGGGACCCTTCTCTATATGGCTCCTGAACGGATAGGAGGCGGTGATTATTCCTACCCAGGTACGCCATGCATTGATTGTAAGTGGTGCCTGAAAACCGAGGCTTTGCTAACCGTTTATCGCTCACTTTTTGTAGCCGATGTGTGGTCCTTTGGACTAGCATTGATATCGGTGGCGTTGGGTCGATATCCGCTTCCTACACAAGATGGTTTTTTCGGCTTGGTTGACTCTGTGCGTTATTCCGTCTCAATTATCGATGAACTATTAGCTGCGTGCTGACACTGTAGGTGTGATGATGCAGGTTGCAAACGAACAACGCCTCAAACTACCCGCTGAGTCCTTTTCGGAAGAATGCCGTTCATTCGTCGATCAGGTACGGCGGCCGATGTCGTATTCACTCCTCTTAGCACAAGTAACCTGACAGTTTTGGCGATTTGCAGTGCGTTTTGATTGACCCAGAACAAAGACCGTCGGCGGAAGATCTACTTCAGCATCCGTTTATTCGCAAGTACACAGCGGAAGAAACACTAGACGAGGTGAAGTGTCGGTCTCTTACATTTGTAGAATAATGCGGTGGGTCATTCTGACCGGAAATTTTTGCCCATTTGTGTGGTACTATAGTGGACATTATTCATCGATAGAATCCAGCTGTGTGAAGAGCGCGGCAGTGAGCTGGAATCGCTAGGTGATGCAGTGTATCGGCACATGTACGAGCACGCAGTGAAGTTTTCGCATCTGCCCCAGGTACTTGTGCCCGTTTGTTGACTAGTTGGCGAGGGGATACCTAATGACTCACCTTCGGTCTTCTGTGTGTACGCAGTCGGACTACGGCGTCTCATTCGTGTCACAAGCAACCCCAACGTTTTCTCGACGAGAAATCTCTCTGCAGCCAGTGCAAATGAGGTGCCGTAGTTGCAATGTGGCATGCATAGTGAAGGTTTGTGCTTCTTACAAGCCATGTTGTGGAATGTGTTTTGTGCTTACGTAGTCTTCAGCTTGGCCTAGCGAACTACTTGAACTTACCTGTGCACATGGTTTATGAAAAGTTCGAAGAGGTAGGTACTGATGACCAGGTCTGATCGGTGGGCCCAGTCGTTGACTAACTCCACCAATCCTTCCATCGCAGAAACGCTGCTTCTACAGCGACAAGTTGCTGGAAGATTATTGCTATTCTCCGCAAAGCTGGACGGCGTCTCCTGGAATCTCGCGGCGTCAGCAATTTGGGATCGGTACAGATAGCCCGCAGCGTACGCCAAGCGAGAGGGGTTCGTTTTGGCGAAAGCTGCAGGAGAGCATGGCAAAGCTTGGCCACAGTAGGCGCAGAAAGGAACGACAGAGGGGGCGCTCCTCGGTGGCTATATAGCTTCGACGCGTTGTACAGCACAAATTCGATTCGCCACGAGATAATTCCAAGTAATGCAAAAGCTCCCAGCTATGAACGCTAGCTCTTCTTAACTTGCGTCAGCTGGATTGACTTGCGTTGTCACTTTCACAGTATCGCTGGGATGCAGCTTCGCAATAGTTTCGCACGGGCCGGCGAACAGCTCCAGCCCTTTGGCGTGATAGAAGGCGTGGGAGCGAGCCAACTCGCTCACGATTTTCTGGCATCATTCCACCCCGCATCAGCCGCAGGATACAGGACCGATAAAAGGGGGCGAGACGTACCTTCATCTTCTGGATCCGATAGCGGTCAAAGTTCTCCATGTGAGTGTCGAGCAGCGCGTTCACATTCTCCACTCGCCGCTTCTGGTCCGACAGCATCCTCAGCTTCTTCTCCTTCTCCTTGGCAGAGCTCCCTCGCTGCAGTCACAGCAGTGGCATACTCAGCATCTAAGGCACCACTGCACAGACAGTAGTTGCTTCCACTCACCCTCAGCTCGTCGTACTCCTTCTGCAGCTTGGCCTCGATCTTGATGGCCTTCTCCCGGTCCTCCAGCAGCCTCTGCACGGCAGCACAGTCAGTCAGAGCTGCCCGTCTTCCTCCTCCTCCGCCCTTCACCGGACGGAGCGCGCACCTTCATGGGCACGATGGCCCAGTCCTGGATCTGCGTGACCACCTGCAGGATCTCCGTCTCGGGGCGCAGCAGCATCACGTCGTGGCTCTCGGTCGCCAGCTTCTGGCCGCACTCGCCCAAACTTCCCAGGCACCGGGCCAGGGGCGCGCACTCTTCCTGCGCCGCGATGTCCTCGAGGCTCCTGGCGAAGGCGCCCAGAAACGCCTCCTGCTCCTCGCGCACCTTCATCATCTTGGCCACCAGCTCCTCCAGCGCGCGCCCGTTGCGCTCCATGAACTGCAGCTGCGCCTGCAGACTCCGCTCACGCTGCCCCATCTCGATGATGCCTTGTCGACAACTTCAAGATACGCGCCACACAAACTGTACACAATCCCACATGTGGTGTAGAGTTGATGTGGCACGGCGCCCCTCCATTACATCTAGCTGCCGTTGTTGCCTGTAGCACCGGGTGCCGACGCCCCCCACCCCGCCGAGCAGCCATGCGCATCATGATCAAGGGTGGCGTGTGGAAGAACACGGAGGACGAGATCCTCAAGGCGGCCGTCATGAAGTACGGCATGAACCAGTGGGCGCGCGTGGCGTCGCTGCTGTCGCGCAAGTCGGCCAAGCAGTGCAAGGCGCGCTGGTACGAGTGGCTGGACCCGAGCATCAAGAAGACGGAGTGGAGCCGCGAGGAGGAGGAGAAGCTGCTGCACCTGGCCAAGCTCATGCCCTCGCAGTGGCGCACCATCGCGCCCATCGTGGGGCGCACGGCTGCGCAGTGCATGGAGCACTACGAGCGGCTGCTGGACGCGGCGCAGCAGAAGGAGGGCGTGGAGGTGAGCGACGACCCGCGGCGGCTGCGCCCCGGAGAGATCGACCCCAACCCGGAGAACAAACCGGCGCGGCCCGACCCCGTGGACATGGACGAAGACGAGAAGGAGATGCTGTCCGAGGCGCGGGCGCGTCTGGCCAACACTAAGGGCAAGAAGGCAAAGCGCAAGGCGCGCGAGAAGCAGCTGGAGGAGGCGCGACGCCTCGCTGCGCTGCAGAAGAAGCGCGAGCTCAAGGCTGCCGGCATCATGTCCTCCAACCCCCGGGTCAACATGAAGAAGCGCAAGTTCATCGACTACGCGAGCGAGATCCCGTTCGAGAAGAAGGCGCCCGCGGGCTTCTACGACATCAGCGAGGAGAAGCGCATCTCGAGCAAGGGGCTCGACCCCAAGAAGGCGGCGCTGCAGCTGGACAAGCTGGAGGGCGTGCGACGCGACGCACAGGAGAAGAAGGAGCGCAAGCAGGATGCCAAGCGGCAGAAGTCGCTCATGAAGTCCAACTTGCCCCAGGTGATTGCCGCCGTGAACGAGAAGAACGACCCGATCAACGCCATCAAGCGCACCCCGCTCGAGCTGCCTGCACCCGTGGTCTCGAACGATGAGCTGAGTGACCTCGCCAAGCTGGGCATGCACGCTACCCATGCAGCCGCCCTGGCGCTTGAGAATGGATCAGCGACCGAGACGCGCGCGCTCATGGGCGACTACAGTGCTACACCACTGCGCTCTTTTCATGGCGGCGCGACAGCTACGCCGTCTAGCCGTGATGTGCACGACAACATCATGCAGGAAACAGCTAATCTGCTCGCCATGAGGAACAGCGCCACGCCGCTGCTGGGAGGTGAAAATGTGGAGCTTTACGAAGGAACAGGCTACGCAGGCGCGACTCCATCGCGGACACCTTCATCGGCTGTGGCTGGTGCTGTCGATGACAGGACTCCGATGTCTGCTACGCGTACGCCGTTGCGTGATGAGCTAGGCATTAACCCTGGACAACTCTACGGCACGGAGACTGAGAGCGCTAAAGCTGAAAAGGCCCGAACGAAACGGCTGGCGGCCAGTCTTCGTAAGGGCTTTGACAGCCTACCGGCACCGCAGAATGAGTACGAGATTAACATTCCGGAGAAAGAGGAGGCTCATGATGGGCATACCGCCTCTCTGAAAGAAGAGGATGCTGGAGAGCGAGAAGCCCGCGAGAAGCAACAGCGCGAGTTGGAGAGAGAGCGTGAGCTCAAGCGGCGGTCGACGGCTGTACAGAAGAATCTTCCTCGTCCTTCAAAGGTGAAAAAGGTGCTGATTCACAGCGCGCTGAAGGACGTTGCCGACGAAATGTACCGCATGCTGGAGCACGATCTCGCTAAATATCCGGTAGATGACGGCAAGAAGAAAAGCAAGAAACGGAAGAAAACATCGAGCTCCGTTGCAATGCCGAACCTCCAGCAGTTCTCAGACAGTGACATGGAACGTGCGCGGCAAATGGTTCAAATCGAGGCCAGCCTGAGTGGGGGGGATGATGTGTGGAAATCCCAAGATACCGCAACGATCAGTGCAAAGTGGAACGAGATTCAAACACGCTATCTAAGCAAAGCTACCGGAGAAGGAAAGAGTGACGGGGTGTCTTTCCAATTCGCTACATCTGACGAGGACAAGCTGCGTGCCGTGCAAGCTCGCTTTGCAGAGCTAAAGGAAACGGAACAGCTCCTGACCAAGCGCGCCCAGAAGCTGGACGAGAGAGCGCGGGTCGTCAATGGCGGGTTCCACCGGCGCTGTGAGAAGGGATTGGAGCTGCTGCGTGATCACATGACTGAGCTTCAGAACGCGACGATTGAGCAGGCATGCTTCGAAAGTCTCTCGAGCCTCGAGACCCAGGCCCTCCAGAGCCGCATGGTTCGGTTGGCGAACGAGGTCAATTCGCAGCAGCTGATCGAGGTAAAATTGCAGAAGCAGTACGCAGCACTGGTCCAAGAGCAGCAGTAGTGTCATTGCACAGTCGTGGAAGAATCTCCTTCGCCTACAAATATCAAAATCCCATGGCACTACAGAAGTCCAAGTTCCGGTTAATCTATTTCTTCTGCATGATATCTGTCGCCTCACCACAGCTTAATTGTCGTCGTCGTCGCAAAACAGCACGGTCTTGGCAGACGGAGACGCACTCCGCCCGATCCGCAGATTTTCGAGCGAGTACTTGCGGTGCATGAGGCTGACCAGAGTTTTGAGCTCGTGCCACTTTGCTGACATCGTGGACTTGTGTGCGTCTGCTAGTTGGTCAAGCTTGCCCAGCATAATTTTCATCTCTTTTGCCGTAAGAATATTGAGGAACGCCTGAAGAGCTAGGTCCATGAGAGCCACCTTCTTGCACAGCAAATCGAACGGCGGAGTGGTCTTCGATGCCTTGCCATTCTTGCGTGTCTCGACGTATTTGTTCGTCAGGTCCTCCACAATGCCGGCGACGATGTCCACAACGAGGCCACTCTGAATTGGAAACTTTAGCGGTCTCTCCGAACTCGCCTACACGTTTCAACACACAAGCAAACCCGATCATGAATATAACAACAACAGAGCATGTATCAGACTGGCAGCACGACGTACCCCTTCCGCTGGTTTTTTGTCGATCCGATGCTGTAAAACGTAGATCGCTAATCCAGTCGTGAGTTGCGTGCCGCGCATCGTGCGCGGAAGTCGACGCGCGACCGCCAACCAGCCAGCCGCTGAGTCAAACAATCCTTCGTTGGCCCCAGCAACGCGGAGAACAAGCTGCGGCGCCCACTCTCTCCGCCACTCAGCACGCGGGAACACGTCTAGGAGCTCCTCGATGCAAATGGTGGCCAGGTCGACGATACTTGCGTGGATATCGCTCTCAAACTGCATGCGAAGAAAAAACATTGTAAAGCTGAATGCGTCGTAGCCCTCGAGCTTCAGTATCTTGGACCTCAAGCAGATGACCAGATACATCAGTACGTAGTGCATGTTGAGGGTCGGGAAGGGAAGCGCTCGGGATTTCTTTGACGAGGGCGGAGTAACAGGGATTTTGCTTTTCACGCTCATAGACCTCTTGCTGTCCTGGAAGCCATAGGCACGGAACGCGTTCAGGAAATCGTAGATGGACGGCTTCCACTCCATTTCGATGGGAGGAACATCGTCGCCGAACGTCGAGCGGAAATCTTCAATCGGGTGCGCGAAGCACGCGACGGGTAAAGCCGAACTTAAAGTTGGAACATACGCCTTCTTCGCGGAGCTCATGACAAGAAACAGGTTGCTGAAGCACCCGCTTACCACGTGGCTGTCGCTGTGAGTTGACACTACCCAACCAAGCAAGCTCTGGTTAGAAATAGAAACATCCTCTAAGCCCCCATTATTTCGCATGAACGTACTTGTCATAAATAACCACGAGCCGATCTTGGGCGGCAGCAGAATCGGGGCCATCGCCGAGCCTCTGGTGGTCGATTCTGCCTGGCGCTTGAGCATGCAACGAATCAAAATTGCCTTGGACCACAGCAGTCCGCTGAGTTCTGCGTCGTCCGTGGACTGCATGGTCTCGTACACGAGCTTCAGGTCTCCTTGCAGCTCGGTCTCCGTCGCCTTGTACGTGCGGTACGGCAGGTGCTGCATCAGAACCGCAGCAACAGAACACACCTCAGCTAACCTCCATTCGCTCTCAGGCAGGAACAAAAACAACTCTGCCACCCACCTCTGTCATGGGCGTGAACACGTAGCCGAACTTCTCTTCGGCCACCGTCACCTCCGAGCCCGAGAAGAGGTAGTTGTCGCCCGAGAGCGCCGACATGTTGCTGGCCATGTGGGTCATGAGCTTCCCCATGGACGAGGAGCCGCCCTCCGCCGCGTCCTTGGACGCCGCCTCGCTCTCCTCGCGCAGCTTCTGCAGCTTCCGCTCGCGGTTCTGGCGCTTGCGCTTCTCCGCCAGGTCGTTGCTCAGCAGCGCGTCCAGACTCGTGAACTCGGCCAGGATGGCGCTGGCCTTCTGCTTCTTGCCGCCGCGCCCCCGCCGCGAGTCGCTCACCAGCTCCTTCTCGTCGTCCGAGGACGAAGACTCGGACGACGCGCGGCGCCGCTTGCGGGTGGCGGCGGAGGCGGCCGGAGCCTTGCGCGACGGAGCCGTTCGTGTCATTCCTGGGCGGGTGTGCTGTGGGTCCGGTATAACGCAGAGCGGCACTTTGGACCAATCAGTGTAATTAGGGGGTAGTTTTTGCGCCAATCATTGGGGTGAAGAATTATGGCCAATTGCAGTGGCGCATCAGTCAGATACTGTCCATCGCCGAAGGACAACAGTGAAACGTTGCTTCCAAATCCAGAGTTCGGACCAAACGGGTCCTTATCGGCGGTTGCCGGGACTCTCTCATTCGCTGGCACGAATGTTTGAGGAGAACGTCATTTAGATTGGGAATCCCAACTTGGGATGGCAGGAATGCTGCCAGCTTCTCTGCTGCAGATCCAGGCCCGGCGACACCAGAAAGTGCAAGAAGGTGCGCTGATCATGAGGCGGTCATGAATCATGACCGCCTCGCGTGCTCCAGCCGTGCTGGGCCAGCAGCACTCTCTGCAATACACATCTGCGCATTAACGAAGGCTTAGACATACCTGTATACGTGCACATACCCACCAACGGTGCCAGACTTCATGATAAACGGCGCCCCAGGAAATAGCAACGACAACCGTGAGGACATCTGCTTCGGCCCACCCGGCTTGTGGACCACCCCATTTGCCACCGGACGGCGCGAACGTAGGCAAAGCCCGACACGGCAATCACGACTCGGTGATTCAAGGGCCTCGTCGTCGAAGTCTCGTTGCTGCACGCGGCGACAGCCACTTGGTCGCCAGCCTCACTCCTTCTCCTGCGAAGCGCATATCTTATTCGTGAGTGGGTGTAAATCGCCCAGGGCGACGCTCACGTGTCCTGTCCTGCGAAATGCTGCTACGGCGAGCAGGATGCAAGTCTCAAGTTGCAGCTACAGAACTCTGCCTGAATACCGAACGCCTGATATATATAAGGTCTCTAGGTTTATAAAGTGATCTCAGCGTCACCAGAGAAAAGGCTGTACTGAATTAGTTTATCTTAGACGGGATTTGACGCTATCAAACCCGAGTAAAGCAGTGTTGAGTTGTTTCAGCGCTGACCTTCGACCAAGCGTGCTCGCACCACATCAGTGCAGTTAGTAGCTCTGCTTTGCACAAGTCGTTGAGGGCTTAGTGGGTAGTGCGCAAATGTGAAAGTGGAATCGTAAATACAGAGAAGATCGCACACACAATCAAAAGGGCGCTAATTTTCAAACTGCACAGCTTAGTACTTTTAGCCAAACAAAGTATCCTTGATTTTTACATCAGTACCTTTGCCCATCTCCGCTCGTCCTGTTGTTGGACCTTGAAGTATTATTTATATGAGGTTATGTATTGTATACCCGTTCGGTATTGAGGCAGATTTCTATCTCATCCTTGGTATGGCGTGGCTGGAACGCCACGAGCCTTGGATCGATTGGAGGTCGAAGACCCTTGGTGCTACGCACTTCTCTCCTGGCGGAGCATTGGCGAGTCGTGAACCCACCTCTGCTAGGAAGCAGAAGCGCTTTTGGCGCGAGCACTGGACCGAGTCGGTCAATGTGCTGGACGTCGGAGTTTCCGAGTTGGTGGACACTGAGTGTGTCGAGAACGAGCGTTCCGAGCGTGGCTCGCGGACGGCAAGTGGAGCGGCACGAATTCCGCTGAGCGGGTGCGCGCCTGAGGGCGACGCCCTGCTGCGTGCCAGCGACGGCGCGGTCGGCACGATGCCGAAGAACAAGGGGCTTTGCCCGGATAAAGATCGTGGAGTGGCACGTAATCCACTGAGTGGAGGCTGCGGATCGTGCAGCTCTTCGCTGAGTGTCGGTAAAGACACTGGAGCTCCCCCGGAGCTGAACGAGGTGGTGACACCTGGCGTCAATACGCACGCGAAATCACGGAGCTCTTCAGGGCGGACGGTGTCCATGAAGAGGAGGCAGCGCCGCAAAGCGCTGGCTGCGAGACGCAAGGCGTCTGCGATCTCACGAGTCGAGAAGGGCGTGTCGAGCGGCGAGGCTCCACGCGAGAGCGAGCAGCTCTATACACTCGTGAATGGAGTGGCGGGCGACGTCAACGGAGGTATCAACCTCGACGACTTGCCCTCACTGTCGGCTCTCCTGGAGCTGGACGAGATGTCCTTGGCCGAGTTCGGCGAAGCCTTGAAGGCTGGAGACTTGGCCGAGGTAGTGGTCATACGACCCGAAGAAGAGTTGAACTCGTCCTCGCTTCTAGATGAAGCTGTCCTGGAAGACACCAAGAAGGCGCTGAATGCGCGGAGCGGATCGGCGATCCTGAAGGACCCGTCGGATCCCTTGTATCAAGTGGTAAAGGATTACCAGGACGTGGTCTCGAAGGAGCCGCCCTCGGGGCTACCTCCGGATCGAGGTGTTCGACACGAAAGCGATCTCGTTCCGGGAACGAAGTACTGCGTGACGAGGCAGTGGCCCTTGCCGAAGGAGCAGTGTGACGTCATTGACGCGTTCTTTCGTGCGAAGCACGAGGCGGGCATGGTGCGTGAGAGTAAGTCTCCACACTCTACGCCGACGTTCTGTGTCAGAAAGCCGAATGGCAAGTGGCGTATCGTGCATGCTTTCAACAAGCTGAATGCCGCTACCATTCCGGCGCAGACGCCGATTCCTCGGAAGGATGTTCTTCAGAACAACATGACAGGATATACGATGTACAGTGTGCTCGACTTGGTCGATGGGTATTACCAATTGCTCATGAGGACGAGCGACATTCCTCTCACTGCGGTGAGTACTCCGAGCGGCATGCTCTGGGAGTGGTTGGTGATGCCCCAAGGGCTTTCGAACGCGCCAGCGACGTTTAAGCGTCTTGTGACGCAGCTCTTCAGGCCCCATCGGGCGTACGCGCAAACGTACTTCGATGACATCTTTGTCCACAGTCGTGCGGAGTACGGAAAGACTGATATGGAGAACCATGTGGAGCACCTGCGTGCTGTGCTCGAATGCATGCGTCAAAACAAGTTGTACGCCAACATTGACAAATGCATCTTCGGAGCGGAAGAGATCCCCTTCTTAGGGTGCTTCATCGGGAAGCGTGGCCTGAGGGCCGACCCGGTCAAGGTCAAGGCCATTGTTGACTGGCCGGTTCCCAAGAACCAGAAGGATCTTCGCAAGTGGCTTGGCTTAGCCAATTACTTGCACAAGTACAGCGAGAACTACGCTGAAATGGCTCGGCCACTGTCCAATCTCCTGAAGAAGGATGCGGAGTGGTGTTGGGACACCGAGCATCAAGATGCGTTTGTGGCAATTAAGGACAGTCTCCTTCATGCGCCTATTCTGGCTCTGTCAGACCCCGCTCGTCCGTTTAGTGTCGTCTGTGACGCCTCGGACTTTGCCATCGGCTGTGCCCTGCTGCAAGCAGACGCCGAGGGGCGCGAGCGCGTGATGGCATTCGAATCTCACCAGCTGAAGGCTGCGGAGAAGAACTATCCTGTCCACGACAAGGAGCTACTTGCAATAAAGTATGCGCTCGTCAAGTTCAGGGTTCACCTGTTGGGCTCTCAGCCGTTCGTGATTTACATGGATCATGCGTCGTTACGCACTGCGACTCAGTCACCTCATCTCTCGCAAAGGATGGCCCGATGGCTGTCCTTCGTCGCGGAGTACAACTTCGAGGTGAAGTACAAGCCTGGCAGGCAGAATGTCCTTGCGGGCGCGCTGTCGCGCAGGCCGGATTATGAGCTGGCGCATGTAACGACCGTGACTTCGTCATTACCGGATTGGATCCGAACGGCTTATGCCAAGGACGACACTTGTGTCGCATTTGAACGGGCTATCTTAAGCTGAGACTCTGCGAGTCTGTTATGTCTTCCTCTGACGCTAAAGCTACGGCAGCCCCGCTGCAGTACTGGTGCCTTTAAGAAGGGTACGGCCCTCACGCAGGGTTCTACCCTTGGCGAATGGTTTTATATGCTCAAGATCCGACTCGTAGATCTTCACCCGATCTTTGACGAGCTAGGCATTCTAGGATTTCCTCAGCCGAAGCTTGAGCTTAAGGTGCAGACGGGATACTCTGAAATTGCGCTTACTCCGCATGCAACTGTCGCATCTCGTACTATGGTGCTAACCTCGACGACACTTACCGCTGGTTACGGTATGTCCTGTTATGCTCGGTAGTTCCGTTTCACCTGCTGGTACTGCCGATGATATGAACGCTGTTATTGGCGATGCTAGTAAGAGCGATAAGCTTCAGATCGCTTGAGATCCGATTCACAATACGATTACGACGATCGCTACGTCTGGAAGCTACTTCCCGTTTACTCAGGGTCGATTGAACATTCCTTTCTATGATTGAGCCACCCCGACTGCTTTGGTGAGCAAACCGATGAAGACGATCAAGTACCTTGATTGCTACAGTCAGATGTTTTCGAATGGTGAGGCTGGTGAAGGCCTTCTGACTACGAACAAGACGTTCTCTATTCCTGTATCGGCATCGCACAAGAGTGTCAAGTATGTAGTAGTCATCCCATATGCAAACACCAAGGCAAGCAACTTCGCTTCTGCTCACGGCTCGCAACAGTTTGCCAGTTTATTCGATAGTGCTCCGTGGACGTGCCAGCTTGATTCGTCCATTCGCGATTTCCAGGTCCAGGTGGGCAACAAGAATATTTTCCAGGATGTACACTCGTACGACTGGCAAGCGTTCATGGACGAGTTCAGCAAAATTGGAGCTATCAACGGTGATCTATCGCGTGAGATCTCGAACGGTCTCATCGGCATCGACAAGTGGCAGACTGCTCAGCGCATTCTAGTAGCTGATTGCTCGCGCATCAGTGAGCCTGAAGTGCCTCAGTCGATCAAGGTATCTGGCGTAAACGTAGCTACTCAGGGATCAAACCTTCTGGTGCTCGTTGTTTACGAGCGTACCCTTGAGATTGATCGCATCACCGGAGAAGTGTCTAGAGCTGACTAGAGTGCTTCTCATAGAAAAGGAAGCAACTTTAATTAATTACGATGTGGCCTAGAATTCCATTGCACTAGTCGATTGACACCTGAGCTGAATAATATGGCAAATGAGTTCTTGTAAGTCCACTCTCGTAATTGAGCAAGG